CCGATTTTGTGCTCCGCGGCTCTAGCACTTGCCAGAAGCGGCCGACGGAGGCCCCTCCCCCGCCGTGTATCCTCCGGAATATCGCCTCGGATTCACTTCTCAGCACGTCCTACCTTCCACAAAGTGGTCGCTTTTCTGTTCAGAGTGTTGTTACTATTCTTATCTACGATCTCCTATTGAGTTCGTAGGTGTTCAGAATGGTTTGATCCCTATTCAGCTGAATTCCTGAGACCAGACGAAATCCAGGTCTCCTACTCCTCCACCATCTTAACTCCAAGCCTTTGGCATCATAATATTTTTAAAAAATAGTATAAGAGTGGTTCCTTATATGAAGATCTGTACCTTACTCAATTTTGAGAAACACTGAACGCACCTGTTATTGAGGTCTGTGATCTGATTCTGGAAGAAGCTGGTCACACCAGAGGCCTGAGAGATATGCTCTCATAGAGACTATGCTTCATAATAAGATAATTTTACCTACCAACATAGCCACTCATTCATTTATTCACTCATTCTTCAGATATTTTTTGAGCATCTCCTCACGGCCTATATATTTTGAGAAACTGGCCACTGAGACTAATAATATTCAGTTCCTGATCTCAGGAGCACCAAGTCTAGTTTGAAAAACAGAATACAAGTGATTCTACTATGAGGTAGTAATGACAGTGTAGATATGTATACAGAGTGGGAAAAGAGAGGGGTGTCCTTGAAGACCTGGGGGTGTCCTTTCACAAGGAGATGCTGTATAAATTGGTTCTTAAAGAATGAATAGAAATTACTTAGGCAAAGGCAGGGGAGAGAAGGGAGCACATTGTCAGCAGAGGGGCTCATCCCTTGGTCCGAAGGGGAACCGTGGAGGAATATGGCAAGAAAAGGTCTCAGATCATGCCTTTTTTACACTCTCAGTATACCCTAAGTATACCATGAAAGCCTCAAACTAGCTTAATACCCAGCATGAACAGACACTAGATACTGGGATTAGGGGGATTTAGGGAGCCACAGTGCCCTGCATCTTAAAGAGGGTGACAGATGACTACCCACTATCTCAGCCTCAGGCACCACCTTGAAGTCTGCAAAACGTTTTGGTGCTTCCTTCCTGGAGCCCTACCCCTCACCCCAGATACCTATTTCCTTTCTACGTCTACAACTTAAGCTCTGGGCCAGGGTAAATACCAGTTCAGTTGGAAAGCGGCCTGCAGGGTCAGAGGGGGAACCACAAGAAGGCGCTGCTCCCTTCAGTTGGTGGTTTGACACAAATTCATCTACTATTTCTGAGCACATGTCTCCTTTTTTAGAGCCTGTGAGATGATCTTGCAGGGCAGTTTGTCTTGCTAAACACATGAACCCAGATTTTCTAAAAGATTCTACCAAAGGATCAAGAAACTAGAGGAACGGCCCTCTCAGCTTTGAGTGTATCCCCAGATGAAACCTTCCTCTGCTTCTCCACAAGCCATGCTGTTTGCTTCCTGCTCAGGACTTGTAATCCTGCTGATACTGAGTAAGTAACATTTATTTAAAATTCCCAAGATGTTCTCTTCCTTGGTTTTAGGATGACTTCTTACCCTTATTAAACTGGAAACTATCCTTCTTATATTATCACTATAACAAAGTCTTTACTTTTCTTTTTCTCCTAGGAGGGACCACTGGAGACACAGTGACCCAGACAGAAGGTTCTGTTACCCTCCGTGAGGGGACACCGCTGACCCTGAACTGCACCTACGAGAGCAGCTACTCAGTTTTTGTTTTCTGGTATGTCCAGTACCAAAACAAAGAGCCTGAGCTCCTCCTGAAGAGCTCATCAGAAAACCAGAGGGTAGAGCATCACGGTTTTCAGGCCGATCTTAAGAGTGACAAGTCCTTCCACCTGGAGAAACGCTCGGTGCAAATGTCAGACTCGGCCGTGTACTACTGCGTGCTGGGAGGCACAGTGAGAACCACAGGAGGGGGAGCTGAGCGCAAACCCAGAGCGGCACAGGAGGCACCTGGAAGTGGGCAGCCTGGAGGGCAGAATGATGACTTATTTCTCTCCAGTCAGTGTCCTGGGCTGGGCATAACTAGAGGGAAGGAAAAAATTCCAGCTCGGATGGCTCCTCACTCAGGAACCCTGGTGCTACTTTAAGCTAGGAATGGAAAGAGGCGATCTAAGTGAAAACTTAGATTATAGATATGTCTATAAATAGAATCCTATAGTACATGGCTTTTTGTGTCTGGCTTCTTCACATAGCATCATCTTCTCAAGGTATATCCATAGATCAGCACTTACTTACTTCTATGGCTGCACAATAATCCATTGTATGGACAGCCCATACTTTCTTTATCCGTTCATCCATTGATGGGCATTTTGGGTGTTTCCACTTTTTGACTATTATGAATAATGCTGCTGTGAGCATTCATGTACGGAGCTCTGGTCTTTTAAACCCTAATATGTAGTAAGTTAGAGGTTTCTGGGTATTTTTGTTTTTTGATTTTGCTTTTTTGGGTACTAACATTTCTTTTGGACATAAAATGAATAAATATATGAGAAAATGCTCCTTACAAATAATGATTTATACCAAAGTAACATATTATTATTCTAAGTTATATCTACAGTCATTCAAGAAAATTTCTGAGCACCTACTCATATGTGCCAGTCATTTTAATAATTAGTGGGAATACAGTTCAGGTAACAGAGTTTCCTGCCTTAGAATTTTATAACACAGTGCATTAAAATACCATATAAGTCTTAAAATAATGCTTTTTTTACAAATCATTTTATTCACACACTGATTTCTATTTGTTCCCAAATATTTATGGTGCTTACAGTTTTATGGGCATTGGACTAAGCACTTTAAATTCCTCCCCACCCCTCTCTAGATACTACCAAATTCTCATTTTACAGATGACAAAATTGAGGTTTAGAGATATTAAGTGACTTACATAACCAGGTTACACAACCAGCTGGGAGCAGAAGTTGGGCCAGGCCCAAATTCGATGAGTGACCAATATTCTTAACAGCTAATTGGTTGAGCCTTCTAGAAACCTGTCTTCTTTTTTCCCCAGAATGTAATTGTAATCTTAGATTTCATAATTGTTGATGTTTTCATTTGGTGGAGAAGAACCCAATGCAATAGTAAAAGCTGCAGTTTACTCAATTGGCAATCACAAGAGTCTATGTACATATCTGCTTATTGAAGCCAAAAACACAGTCACCATCTTTTATGTTCTTGAACCATAAGGTTGCTCATACACTCTCTGATTGAATAGCCTGGCTATTCTAGGAGTCATCACTGAGCCCCAGTAGCTGTTATCAGGAGACATACAGGTATTTGCCATGGAAATGGGGGGTATATTTTCCAAATACAAACAAAAATACTGGATATGGCAAATATGTCTACTCATTGAAACTGCAGGACACAATACTTTTGGTTTTGCTATAGCATATATCTCATTAAAACAAATTCCTTTTCAAATAATTAGTAAATGCAGGGTATAATGTCAATATCATGTGAAAGTTTTATTGATTTTCATAGATTTTTCCAAGCACATTAATAATTGTTTCAAATAAAAAAAACTATCAGGGACAAGTTTCACACTATAAAAAAACAATCTTCAAATCTAGTGTTAGCCGAGTTTGTTTTAGTGGCTTCAAGAATTTCCAGGGTTTTCAAGATAAAGCTACCCGATGAAGCTGAGAATGAGGATAAAAAGACCATGGGGTATTTCCACCTCTCATGTTAACAATACTGATTTATGAAGAATAATAACATTAAAAATTTTGATGAACCAGCTCTTACAAGAGACACACATGTTCTCATGGACCTATATCTAGAGAGGCAAAACACAAGCCCCAACACTTAAGGCTACAAAGAGCTTACTGATTATAATGCAAGGGGCAAATGCCAAATAGGTATTGAACTCTGCTGGTATTTTTTATAGTACTTCTACTGTTTTTTATAATGCCCTGGCTACAAAGTTGTATATTTTTAGGATTTTCCCCCTCTCCCATTTTCCACCATAATTAATGTGTGTAGTTTGGAAGAGGAGGGGGTATTTTCAGAAATATGTGTATTGAGTTATACCACAAATTCCTAAGCTTAGGCACTGAGTAGAATTTTCTGGACAGTAGCTCCTGTGTCTACTCAGAGGTAGGCAGGGCCGCTTTATTTTCCCTAACTAAATAATTTAAGGTATATTTCCTCATATTTGCTGACAGTCCAAAGAAGAAATGCTCTAAGACGTGAGCAATAATCATGCCAGCCTTCAAACTGTATTGGTTTAAGCCTTGAGCGCTACCAGAATAAACATCTGGCAAAGTAACACATGTCAAGATAAAAGTTAACAAAGGAAACGGCATTTTCCCCTGAGGAAATATTCAACTAACAGATAAGTTGCGAGGTACTAAATCTTTATAGGTTATGGTGGTTTTTTTCCCCTCTTATTTTGAGAGTATGTAAATACTTTTTCAATACACCTGAAATTTGACTGATGGATGAATTTTTCCAGAGATGAGGTCGTAGTGGCAAAGAGGATACTCTCATCCTGTATCCAGTTAAAATGCAAGCTGTCTTGGGAGTGGGGTAAGCTTTCTAACCTGCCCCAAGAAACCAGGACAAAGTATTATCCACTCTTAGAGCACGAGACAGCGTCTCCTCCTCTGCTCATCAACAGAAATATGGATGCTATTTTGGTCACTGACCTGTATCTCTACTAAAATTGCTCTCATTGCACCAGACATCCTCTCTGCCTCTCTGTAGCTGACAACCTGTCTATACCTCCTGTGACCAAATTTTCTGGAAGGAAAATGGGGAGCACAGAAGGTGAGAAAAGATCTGTTTTGCTGCTGGGAGGTATGGCTTGGCACTGAATCACTGCCATTTCATGATTTCTAAGCATGATTCTTAAAACGCAGAGTGGTCCTGGAGAATGGATAGTCACCATTCTTACCTTACAAAGACTAGGTCTCCTACCAGACACGATAGGTGTAATCTATGTCAAGATGTAATGTAATGTCAAGACTGTATTGGTTTCCAATCACGGGACGCCTGGGTGGCTCAGTTGGTTAAGCATCTGCCTTCAGCTCAAGTCGAGATCCCGGGGACCTGGGATGGAGCCCCGCATCGGGGTCCCTGCTTGGCGGGGAGCCTGCTTCTCCCTCTCCCTCTGCTGCTCCCCCTGCTTGTGCTTTCTCTCTCTCTCTCTCTCTCTTTGTCTGTCAAATAAATAAATAAAATATTTTTAAAAAATAAACTTTCCAATCACTTAAACCTTCTTGATACTTGCCACTTGATACCTTGTCTTGTGGTCCTGAAAATTCATATCTAAAACAACACTACAAACAGAGTGGGTAAAGTGAAGAAGACAGACAACACCAAGTGTCTACAAGAGCATGGGGCAATGGGAATTCTCAGATGCCACTGGAGGCAACATGAACTGGTGCAACCTTGCAAACCATTTGACAATACCTACTAAAGCTGAACATATACATACACTGTGACCCAGCAATTATTCTTCTAGGTATATACCCAACAAAAAACGTGACCCCTGTTCATCCAGGAATGATGTACAAGAATAAGAACACATATAGCATCAATAATTGTAATACCCTTAAGCTAGAAAACAACCCAAATGTCTATCAGCAATTTCAAGGATAAGTAAATTCTGAGAACAGACTATACAGCAAGAGAATGAATAAACTTGCTATATGCTCAATATGGAATGAATCCCACAAATATGACTGAGTGAAAAATGTCAGACACAAAAGAAGCTCAAAAATTGGTCAGACTAATCTAAAAAATTATAAGTCAGGAGAGTAGAGCTAGTGGTTATCTTTATAGGGAGATAGTGACTCAGAGATTGAACAAGGGAGGTTTCTGGGATGTTGATAACATCCGTTTCAGTCTGGGTGCTAGTAATATGGGTGAGTTCACTCTGAGAATTCACCAAACTCTACACTTAAGTTTTGTTTATGTACGTATATCACACTTTAATAAAGTTTTTAAAAGTATACATTATTTACTCCATTAACTGAGTTCTGAGAACACAATTCATAGTCAATCTATTTTCATGAGAGACAGAGGGAGAGAGAGAGAGAGAGAAGCAGAGGGAGAAGCAGGCTCCCAAGGAGCAGGGAGCCCGATGCGGGACTCGATCCCAGGACCCTGGGATCATGACCTGAGCCGAAGGCAGACGCTTAACCATCTGAGCCACCCAGGCGCCCCATAGTCAATCTATTTTCATATCCCTGTTGCCCTTCACACTGTGCCCTCATTTAACAGATGCTTAATAAACCTTTGCTCAGTAAGACTTAGCTACTTCGGATACATATTTGCAAAAATTCTCTGCTCCCAGTCCTAGAAATATAACATGCCAGGTGGACTTGAACTTCCCCCTTAATGTTTGCTTCTCTCTAGAACTGCCCAAGTTGAGACCCTCAGCATCTCACATCTGGTTTTCTGTAGTAGCCTTTGAACTAGCTTCCTTCCTAGCAAGGTCTCCTCCCTGGATCCTACTCTTTATCTCACAGAATAATTAATCTTTTTAAAAAACACAGCATTGAGGGGCGCCTGGGTGGCTCAGTCTGTTAAGCATCTGCCTTCGGCTCAGGTCATGGTCCCAGGGTCCTGGGATTGAGCCTGGGGGGAGGGTCTCCCTGCTCAGTGGGGAGTCTGCTGCTCCCCCTGCTTGTGTGCTCGCGTGTGCTCTCTCTCTCTGTCAAATAAATAAATAAAATCTTTTTTAAAAATTAAAAAATAAAAAACACAGCATCAATCACATCAGTCCACTGTTTAACAACCTTCAGTGACCGTCCTTTGCTTGCATTAGTTAAGGTTAAAACTTTTGATGTGGCTCTCAATGGCCTCTACAGTTTTGTCAGGAACTTTCTGCTTCAGCAGATTAGGTCTGACTCAAGAATGAAATTGGGGAACACTCACTGTACTCCTTAAATAGCCCTACAGCCTGTTGCTCCTATAATCACCTTTACCTGAGTGCTTGCCATTATGACTCCTCCCAATCCCAGAGACTTTCTCAGACCATACCTGCCTCATGAAGAATTTCCTGGTCACTCCAGCCTACAGTGACTTCTCCTTTCCTGTGAAAAGCCCGCCACTAATTATTGCCTCTGATAAATTACCTAATATT